TCAACCACACGGACGACGACGACGCGTCATCCTCGGTCCGAGGAAGAAGACGAGTACCGAGCAAGACAAGGCCAGCACCAAGGGCACGGTCGACGCTGCGCAGCCAAGAGCGGCAGCAAAAGCAACCGCCGAGCGTTCAAACGACGCCTTTCTGTCGCGGTGACGCCCCGTAAGTGACACGCCGCCGTCATCCACGGCACCGATGCCCGTTGACGCGAGTTGTCGGACGGTGCTCGACGCGCCGCTGCCCAAGATTGAGAGCCCGTCCAAAGAGATGACGCGGGCGTTCTATGACGACTTGGAGAGGGAGGATGCGACCAGCGCAGCTCAGGAAGACGACGATCGGACGACTTATGACAATGACAATGACGACGACAATGACGACGACGATGACGATGACGATACGCTCGCGTTGCCCCCTGAGATTCAATCCCTGCTCGAGGTACGATCTATCAGATGAAGGACGGTCTTGGAGACTCTCTTGGGTCCACGTAGTTGGTCGACGTCTTTCGACCGGATGTGATCGACTTGCCTCTGTACCTCGAGCCCTTTGTGCCTGCGTACTTGCCGAGCATTGGGTTTCCCTTCGACACGACGAGTCTGCTTCGACCGGACGTACTCCTTCTCGACCCATCGCCGATCGAGCTCGGTGTGCATCTTCTCGCCGAGCCCAGTGCGACGCAGTCCAACCCCGCTGGTAGTGTCTCGTGTGCCATCGCGATCGAAAGACGTAAGGGATGCACGTAGAGCTCCAGCTCCTGCTGCAAGCCGACGCCAAGACCTCATTGGGCGACTCCCGCCGCGCGATCGAGATGCCGGTGCATGCGATCGAGGACGCCCATTTGGTACCCGAGCGCATTTCGGCATGGATCGCAAGCGTCGCCGTCGTGCACACGTCGCAGCCACCGCCGCACGTCGTCTACACCAAGCCGATGCCATCAATCGACACGCTGCTTGAGCTCTGGCCGCCCCAAGTCGAGCCCTATTTGACCAACTTTTCCACGGCCGAGCTGCACGTGTCGCTCGAAGACCGGATCCGCGTCATCTGCGGGCTCCTCGACATTCCAGTCTACCCGGGCCAGCTCAAGCAGAGCTTGCATGTCCTCTTCGTGCTCTACCAAGAGTGCATGGCGATCGCAGCCCACGTCGTAGCGTGCTAGTGCTCCACCCCTTATTTAAGACACCCGTCGTTCTTTGATATAGAGTTGTCCTAGCTCGAAGCAAACGTGCCGGGCCATCCGAGGTCCGGGTTGTCGGGGTTTCTCGTCCGGTCCTACGTTTACAAGACAATATTGTGTACTTGGTACAGCCGGACAGGTACCAATCGGTTGCAGTTGGCCAAGTCGGACGAAAAGTACTCCGTGTCTTCGGCCGGGCAGGCGAAGTTGAGCACATATGGGCACTTTCGGATCACGTCTTCGCAGATCGAGAGGCAGGTCTAGCCGAGCATGGGCCCTTTCACGAGGCGAGAGGCTTCTAATACCCGCGTCCGGAATGGGTCGCAGCCATTGGCGACGCTTGGGCAAATGGCTGTCGCCGACTGGCCGCTGCCGCCGCAGCGCTGGAACTGCACGGCGCAGACCCAGTACTTGTACGCATCCCGGCAGTCGTCGCAGTTGTACAGACTGTACTTGGTGCTGCAGCCAAAGCGGTCGAGGATCTACCGACCGAGTACATAAACGTGCCATCGCGCGCTTGTATATCAAACCTTTTCGACGCTCGCATAGTAGGTGGCAGCATCAGCGTCGGCGGCGGCGCCTGTTAAGTCGTCGGCGCCAGTGACGGCCACGTAGTCGACCTGAGTGGGATGGATCGCAGCTGCCGATGCACCAACAGACCGCGTACCATGGAGCAGAAGGAGAGCGACTTGGCCAGAATGAGGTTGCAGACCTCGTCGGCGGCGGCGAGGCTCGTGGAAGCGATGACGGCCAGCGACAGGAGCTCGGCGATGCGCATCTTGCTCGAGTTTGCCTCTGCGTAACCGAGACCGTTGTATGTATTTCATAGCGGACAATCCAGCGTGGAGCCGCATTTCGGTTTATATAAACGGCTTGTGCATTCGAGCGATCAATTCGGGCAACGGTGACAATGACACTATGCACATCACACTGCAGTGCGTCCATAAGTTGGTTGATGTACTCAATAAAGTACTTTGTCCTAGGATGAAGCACGCCAGTTGAACGAATCGGTGCGTCGTCCGTGTGGCGACACCCCCGAAACCAGCCCCCGAACCTCCGAGCAGACGCTAAAGACACTACTGTACACAACCAAGAGAAATCGAGAGGACGAGCAAAGGACGATGCCGTGTCATAGATAAAAGTCTGCGCTCTGGAGGTCACGCCACATGTGGTGAGTTACGAGATGGCAGGCGTCTGCAACACGCTGATGAGCGCCATGGCAGTCACAGCATCCCGCGGCAGCTCGCGCTGGACGTAATGCAGAATGTTATAGAGCGCAGCTTGCTGCTTGGGCTCCCGCACTTGGCTTTTCAGCTCCACGTACTGCTCCAAGGCACTAATGAGCTGGAAGCCAGCACGCAGCAGCTGTAAATGCAGGGCCGCGTCGGCTTCGTCTACGCAGACACCACTTGAAATCTCCATAATCGAGACGAGGCAAGAACTACCGTGTAGGCGACCAATGGCCGTCTCCATGAGCCGAACGATGGGCTGGACGATCGACGCTTCGTCGGGCTGGTGGCTCAGGATGCATGTTGCCCCCGGGAGCCCGTACGTCATGATGATAAAGTCGACAAACTGAAGGAGAGCCAACTGCACGGTCACATGCAGCGCACCGAGCTTGACTGGGCTCTTGAGCAATAGCAGCGGCAGCCATTGTTTCTGGCGGCGCCAGATCTGAAAGAGGTTTTCCGTCTGGAGCAGCTGCATGAGCAGACTCAGCGCGCGGACTTGGACGTGGCTCGTCGATTTGGGGCTCCCGACAATGTCCTGCAGCACGGGCAGCAAGGTCTCGGCCCCTTGCCGCGAGATTTGGATCCAGAGTGCTACGACCGCTAAGCACGAAAGCAGCATCAACCTCTCGCCTGCGACGAGACAACGACGTACCAAGGCCATGTTCCAGCACAGCGGGCTGATGGACGTGGTGCTTGAGAACACGCGTGAGCGCGTGCATGCACTTGGTTCGGACCGTCGCCATGTCCAAGTCGGTGCGAGCGGTCTCGGGTGCTGTCGGTGCCAGCGGCTTGCCACGCAGCATGATGCGAGAGATGCTGCTTTGGGTCGATAATCCTGATGGTGGGTCGCGTAGCGCTGCCCGAACGCGCGTGCTGGCATGCAGAAGACCAAAGAGGACTTGCAAGGCGCTTGTGAGCACCGAATGCTCCTAGTCATGCACGCAATGATGGCCATGCGATCGCGAGAACGTAGATCCACGTACAATATCCGCGAGCAAGTAGTCGGTCAAGAGCGGAATCAAGTGGACGCTCGTGCTTTCACCCGCCAGCAGCTGGGACAGCGTCGTGTAGAGCTGCTGGGCGAGCGCGAGAGGCGCTAGCTTGACGACGGTCGGCGACGGCGGCGGCGGGAACCACTGGGAGAAGGGCTGCATGAGCTGGCTAAACTCCGAGTCCCGAGGCGCGTCGGGATGCGGCAGTGTCTCTGCCTCGGGCCCATCGAGGTCCGACGACGAGACGTGGTTGAGCAGCGTCAGGAGCGCGGCGCCTTGAAGCAGATTGTGGACGAGCTCCGCATTCTCCTGGCTGAGACTCGTGGTGGGTATTGCCTCGGTCTGGATCGCAATCGTGGCCGTGGATCGAGGGGCAACCACCGGCGACTGCGGCCGGGGCGGCGGAGTTCGCAGCTGCTGCGACGGGTAGAACGGTCGCTGCGAAGCAACCTGGGACGATGGCACTGCTTGGGAGCTGCTCATCTCGTGGAGCTGGCGCTTCTTGGTCTCGAGGAGCTTCTTCTCGGCGGCCAGTCGCTTTTGCTCGACAAGCATTGACGTCTGGGCCTAGACGAGTGCATGAGGATCGTGATGAGGACTTCAATGCGTACGCTCTCGAGCTCCTTGCGAAGACGCGTGTGGGCGCGCTCCGAGGTCGCAATCTGCTCGCGCAGGAACGCGACCTGGGACGTGAGGCTGGCGACCTTTTGCGCAGTCGCGAGCTCGTTCTGCTGGCAGCGGTAGTTGGCTTCGGCCTCGATCACTGCGACGTTCGACTTGGCGTCAAAGAGCTCCTCGTTGTACGCGTCGAGCTTGATATTGAGGAGCCCGACCATCTCCTCGGCCTGGCCCTTCTCCTGCGTAAGGCGCGCAATCGCCTCCCGCATCTAGCACATTCCTATGATGACGAGGAAGAGCATGGTAGGCGTCGTCTACCCGCGCCATCTCGCCATGGACGTCGTGTGGGAACGCCTGGACCGCTGGCGGCGGCGCTTGGCGGTACATGTGCTCGGCCAAAAATTGCAGGATGGAACCGCTGGGTGTTAAGAGTTTAGCATATACTCTTGGTAAATGTGCTGTCTAGATTCACGCACTTTTGTCGAACCCCGCCAAGTTGCTCCGCGATCGTATAGTACCTCGGAGCAAGGGGACATACTTCCCGCAGCCAGCATAAGCAGAGTTTGTTCGTCTTTTGGGCTTATGACTGTATTGATGGAGACACTGAGCTAAATCATCGGGTGCCACGAGCGCGTTGCGATCGGCTCGAAGCTGGCAAAGGGCGCTTGCTCGTCGGCCGGGACGTTGTTCGTAATGCAGTACGTCTGGTAGTCGCACCACAAGGCCGCTGCGTCTTCATCGGTGGCACGGGTGACCAGCGCTTGCTCGAGAAGGTACCGGCGCGGTGGCACATAGCAGTTGAAGCTGCTGGTGTCGTGCTCGCAGAACGTCGAAGACTTGCCTTGACGCAAGCAGTTGGCGCAGAAATGATAGGCAAAGGCGGGGCACTTGGCGCACTCGAACCAAAGACCTTGCATCGACTGGCTGCAGCCGTAGCAGATTTCGTCCTGCCACACTTCGGTCTCGAGCTCGTTCTTGGCGAAGAAGGCGACGACCTTGGCCCACGCCTCGTCGCTTGTGGGGTTGTGGGCCGCAAAGGTTGGGTCGAGGAGGAACCGGTAGAACGCTGCGGCACCTTGGCTCGTGTCGGCGTCGCCCGGCGGCAAATGTTCCAGACACCACGCCAAGGTGTCGAGCATGTACTGCTTCCCGAGGACGTAGTCGCCCTTGGACCAGTAGAGCATCGCGAGCAGAAAGAGCAAGGTGATGTAAAGGGATGGCGCTGGTGGGCTCTTCTGAAATCGGTGCCAGAGCGGAAGCCAGAGCGCCTCGGCCGCTGCGTAGTCGCCAAGGAACCGGTGCACGGAGCCAAGGTTGATCGATGCAGCGGTAGTGTTGAAGTGCAATGGACCGTAAATGCGCTCCTGCACATCGCTCGTCTCTTGAAAGAGAGCCTTGGCCTCGACGAGCTGGCCGCGGTTGAAGCAGATCATTGCGAGGTAGTCGCGCGTGTACACCGTGCTTGGGTGGTCCGTCCCGAGCAGCGAGAGTTGCGCGTCCAAGCACTTGAGGAACCACGTGATCGCTTGGTCATAGTCGCAGAGATTATAGCTGGACGAGCCGAGGATCGACATGGTTGCAATCGTTGACGTGTGGACAGCTCCGAGGTCCGTCAGCGCCATGGCGTACGTCTTCATACAGAGTGCACGAGCCTCCACAACGTATTTGGCTTCCTGCAGCGTGCAGGCGTAGCCGTTGCGAGCGTAGCAGACGGTCATGGGATCAAGGCCGTCGATGGCCAAGATGTCCTTGAAGATCGTGCGCCACGTGGGCTCTGGCTCGCCGACCTGAAAAGACGCGCAACCTAACCACGTCATGGCGTGTGCGTAGTGGACATCGCGCACGTCGTTCGATTCGAAGAGGCTGCGAGCCTGGCCCGCAGCGGATAAGACGGCAGGATAATCGACCTCGGTCGCGTGAATGTTGGCCAGACAGAGGTGCCGGTGGGCTGTATCAAGCGGCGAGAGGCCCGATGCGATCTGCGCCGTCAGGCTCCGCTTCATCCAGTCTGAGATGGTCGAAAAGATGAGTCGGTCGACGGCCGTGAACGATGTCTCGGCGCGAATGAGCTCAAAGATACCGTCGCGATCACTTGGAACGGTTGTCTCGGACGCCTCGCTCTTGATTGTCCCCAGCATATCGTCGAGCGCTGTTGGGCGAAGCATATCTTGGATGAGGAGCTCCAATTGACCGGGCGCCATGGCCATCTCGAACCGCGCCTGCATCGTGACGGCCACGTACACCTCAAAGACGCACCAGCTCCGCCGGAGGACGATCGGGTCGTTCCACGGGTGCATGATCATGACCACGTTGCCGATGGCTGCAAGCTGCGTCTTGAACGTCGACGACCAGTACTCGAACGGGTACGAGTGCGCGTGGTGCTGGTTGTTGTTGAAGACGCAAAACCACAGGACCGCTTCGTCAGCAAGGCCTTGGCCGGCGAAGAAGGTGTCGAGGCTGTCGACCGTCTCCAAGAAGAGATAGCTCCATGCGTGCGAGACATACCAATTCGCTTCAGACACGAAATGGCGCGTGGTCGCATCGTTGGCGAGGTGGTCGACGAGCGAGAGCTCGGTGGACTTGGTCATTGGCACGACGTGATCGAAGCAGACTTGGGACGTCGTGAGACCCTCAAGCTTCTTGCGACCGCCGCAGCCCTCGATGAGGTGGTGGAAGTAGCGCAGCGAGACGCCGAGCGGGCGGGACGATGTCATCGACATTTTGAACTTGTCGTGTCAAATGCAAAATGGAGCGCTTTGGCGCAATTGGATATAAAAAGTACTGGAAATGACTTGATTTCAGTATCCATGCCATCCTGCAAGGCCATTGGCCGACCGAAAACCCAGTCCTCAGCATGATCCAGCGACCACGGCGCAGCGTCGACGACCTGGACGACGACACCGACGACGACGTGCGTGATGACGCGGCGCTGCTCGACATCGTCGACGGCTACACACGCGCCAAGCCGCAGGTGCACCCGCTCGACGTCGAGGCGACGCTCTGCGAGAAGGTCGCGCTATGTGTCGTCAGCATCCTCCTCATTGCGATCGCAGTCGCCTGCGTCCATGCGATTTGGACGACCAAGCTGTGCGTCCTCATCCGCGATAGCCACCGCGAAGTCAAGTACCGGCGGCCCAACGAATGCTTTGACCAAGCCGAGATCGACGGCATGCTGCGGGGACTGGCGCAGACCTTTACAACGACGCTGACGGCGCATGGCATCGAGTACTGGCTCGACAGCGGGACGCTCCTCGGCGCCATCCGCACGGGCGCACTCAACCCGAACGACATGGACCTCGACGTGGGCATGAGCGTTGCGGCGTTTGAGACGCTTGTCGCGACGCCACTGGCTTTTCCCGAGCGCTACCAGCTCGAGATCGTCAACAGCACGTTGTATCCGTCAAAAACGCGCGACGACGCGCTGCCCGGCCGGTTCATTGACAAGGCGTCGGGTCTCTACCTCGACATTTTTGTCTTCTTGCCGTCGCTCAGCGAGAATGGCACGGCGCTCCTCGGTCCCGTCGCATCAAGCTGCTGGCACGAGTGCGTGGCCTGCGAAGGCCGGCCCAAGCACTTTGCTGTACCGCAAGATTGGATCTACCCGCTCACGCCCTGCGACTTCGAGTCGGTCCGCGCCCGCTGCCCCGTCAACGTCGACGCGTACTTGACGCACTTGTATGGGCCATCGTACAGGACGCGGAGCTGGGACCTCCACAAGTATATTCCCTAAGCCTGTATTGGATCATTATGGACGCTTTGTCTTGGAAGATAGTACAAGTGTATTGATCGTAGGTAGAATCGTAATAGAGCACGTTGAGCTCTGCAAGCTAAAAATGGGCAATTAAATGGCTGCAAGCAGCAAAGAAATGACCTTTTGCTACATCGGGTTGTCGGCAGCACCCACTTAAAATAAAATCTGCCAAACCTTGGTCTTTGTATGACTACACGAGAATTTATTTTGAGATGTCTGAACACACGCAACCAATTTAAGTTGGTGCCAGGGCCAGCGCAATGTTCCGCAGCCGGAAGGGGGCCAAGAAGACCCAAGGCAAGCGCCAGGTTGACGCTGATGACGAGGCTGTGGCCGACCTGCTGCCAGTAGCTGAGGCGGCGCCTGATGCGATGGACGCCGGTGCAGACGACAGCGTCGAGGCCATCCGCTTGCGCCTCCAGAAGAAGCACAAGAAGCCGCTGGGCACGACCACGACCAAGAAGCGGGCCGTGGCCATCGATCTGGATGACGAAGATGCGCCCGAGTTTCGCGTTCGCAAAGGCAAGATTGCGCGTGTGGACGCGCCGGTCGAGACCGAGCGCGCATCGACCTCGGGCGCGGGCGAGTACTCGCGCGAGAAGCTCGCCGAGCTCCTGGCGCAGCAAAACTATGCATCGACGGCCGCGCCCACGACCCACGAAGCGCCGGCGATCGACGACGAAGCGCCGGTCGTCGTGGAGAGGCCGACCGAGCTGCCTGCGTCGCCACCGCCGGACGCGCCATTTGTGCCAGAGAGCTTTATTCCCATGACCGACCGGCGTCGCGCGCCGCCACCCGTGGAAGAAGCGTCGCTCTCGGAGCCCGACGACGTCGACATGGCCAACGACGACGACGACGGCACCGACGCGCGGTGGGAGAACGAGCAGCTGCGGCGCGCCGGGCTTCCGATCCCGGCAGCGTCGCCCGTCTTGCAGCAGCGCGACCTGAGCTTCCAGTCGTTCGGGTCGCTTCTTCTGTCGCTCGAGGCGACGCACGAGGCGCTCACGGAGCGCGTGGACCTCCGGGACCGCGACCGCATGCGTGCATCCGTCGACGCGGCCCAAGCATCCTCTGCGATCCGTGATCTCGAGAGCCAGCTCGAGAAGGACGCGCAGACATTCGACGTTGCGCAAGACATGTGGGAGTATCTCTCGACGCTCTGCTTTTGCTTGCGTGCAAAGCTCGATTCAATCTCATCGATCGAGGCCCTCGTGCCCCAGGACAAGCGCATGCTCGGCATGAGCGACGCGATCTGGGCCGACGTCGACGACGACTACAGCGACTTGCAGCATGTGTTGGAGCGCTTTGCGGCGTGGAAGACCGCCGACGCTGGCATGTACGCGGCTGCGTACGGTGACTTGGCCCTCGCGCAGCTCGTTTGTCCGTACATTCGCGTCGAGTTAGCGACGTGGCAGCCGTGGACGTCGTCGCGCACCTTTCAAGACATGCGTTGGAGCTCGCTTTTAGAGGACGACGCGCTGCACGAAGCCGCGATGGCGCTCGTCCAAGAGCATCTCCGGCGGTACCTTCCACACCTCAACGTCTGCTCGCCGACCCAGCTCCAGAACTTGCGGCGACTTGTGACTCTCTTGGCGCCCGAGAGCCGCCCGATCCATGCCGAGATGCTCACACAGTGCCTCTCGTCCGTCCAAGCGCTGGACTTTGCCAGCATGGGCGGCGTCGACCTCCGGCTCCTCAAGGACGGCGTCAAGGCGCTCTGTGCGTCGGATGCGCGCTACGACAGTGTGCTCGAGGCGCTGCTGGAAGGCGAGGCGCGCCACTGGATGCAGAGATGCGCAACGGCCGGGACGACGCGCAGTCATGTGCAAGGGATTGCCGCCGCCGTCGAATTGTGGCCACTCGGCAAGAAGTTTCCAAACCTCCTCGTCAACTACGCGGTGCTGCTGCGGCGCTTTGTGGCCGACGCCACCTCGGACACCGACGTGACCTTGGGCCAGGACGTCCTCGCTCGGGTTGAAGCCAAGATACGCGGATAAGATCTATTGTTGTCATCGTCTTGATTCTTATCGCAATGGGTGCAGAGAGGAGGTGGTCGTGGGGTGTCATTCGCGGCAGCCTCGTACAAGGCGAGTGTTCTTCAAGGGAATTGTTTTGATCGAGGGCTTCTTGCATCCTTGGTTGCAAGAAACGTGCTGTGCAAATAGCAACTAGCCGACCAGCAGATGATGGCATTGGCGCTGGATAGGGTCGTTCGATAGTCCAACCCACAACAGCACGTTCGATTCGTTCTACCGTGTTTTACTGCTTATACCGGGACGCGGCTTATAACAGGATCTGATAATTTTCTCCATGAATTAATGTCGAATCTTCAATTGTGAGAGGTTTACCTCTTCTAGTGGATGACCCTGCAAAGATGATAAAAACCTGTAAGATTTTATTGGTGCTTGATGGCCACGCACACGAGGTGGCAGGATTGCTGAATGAGTGAAGCCCCGAGCCAACCCAAGAAGCGGCAGAAGTACTCGTACGCCGACAAGTACGAGATGGTGCTCTACTACGAGGCCAACGACCTCAGTAGCACTGTCGATCGCTACTTCCCCAGCCTCGCGAGCTCGAAGCGCCATAGCGCCAAGAATCTCGTGCTCGACTGGGCCTCACCCAAGAACCGCGCCAAGATCGAGGCCAATGCGAAGAGCACCAAGACGAAGAAGAAGTTCAAGATACGACCAACAGGTCTTACGCTGGCGCTACCAACGGCTTTACGCGCTGCAATTTCGTCAACAAAGAACGTGCAGATGATGTCTTGGAGGACAAGGAAGAAGTTGATCAAGACCTCATTGAAAGGCTCATGCAATGTAACTTGCATAGCGACGAGATGAGCTTTAACGACAGCACGATTGAGCTGTGACGAGTGAATAGAAGCATTTCTTGTCAAATCTTATGCGCACGATTGTATGGAAAAATGATATGACTCGATCAAATTATGGTGGAAAAAACTTGAACCATTTCCGCATGGTTCAGCAAACATGGCGTCCCGGTATAAGCAGTAAAACACGGTACTAGTAGCTCTGTACCCGCGCCAACGTCAAGGATCGGTCTACGTACATTAGCACCTGCTAGAGAACGACAGGTAGAATGCAATGACAAGGGTCCCAGCTCGCGCACTGCCGCGTACGTCGGCGAGGATGTCGCGCCAGCTCGGCAGAGCCGTCCTCTGGATCTCCTCACGCCGCATCTATGTCACGCACTTTATCGAGATGCATACAAATCAAGAGATGAAACGGCGAAGGTGCGGTTTGCTGCTGCATCGCGGAGTCGTCTTCGGGCGCATTTGGCGATTTCAAGCATGGGCCTCCGACCGCTGCTTCTGCTGCTGCTAGCGCTCGCCGCCCACGCCGTCCACGTCACAGTGTACCGCAACGGCGAGTCGGTGGACGGCGTCGCTGTCGACGTCACGCCCGCCATGGCGACATCTGGGCTCGACCTCGCGACGCATCTCTCGACGTTCGTCCCTGTCGATGGTATGCTCGACGACGCGTCGGTCAAAACCATTGTCGCCGATCGCGTGTACAATGGTCGCGGGCAACTCGTCGAGTCCATCGACCAAATCGAAGAGAACGAGCGTCTCTACCTCGTGGCGCCAGGCCTGCTCTTTGTCTGGCCGTTTGTCGAGGTACCCATCCGCCTCTCTCGCTCGCTATGTATGAACCGAGGCACGTAGCTGGGCCACACGGTCTCGGTCGAGTCGACGCAGAGCCCGACGCAGAAGCCGATCGTGCTCGAGTCCTTCAACGAGTCGCCGCGAGTGTTTCTCATCCACGACTTCTTCACCAACGACGAAGCCGACGGCCTCGTCAAGCGTATCCTTGAGATTGACAACGAGCATTCCAAGCTCCAGCGGTCGTTTGTCGGGCACCAGAGCGGCGCGAAACTGTACATCTTGTCTTCTAGCTCTCAGTCCAATCCCACGTGTCATGCTAGGACGTCCACGGTGCGTACGAGCGAGAACGCGTTCGACTCCGAGTCGGAGATTGCCGTGAGCCTCAACAAGCGTGCGTTTGACCTGCTCGGCATTGGCGACTACCAAGGTAATTTTATCGTTTTTTCCGTGAAAAAAGCGTTCATGTGGGAGTAGATGACATGGCCGACGGTCTCCAGCTGCTGCGGTACCAGCAAAAGCAAGCGTACATTCCCCACACGGACTACTTTGGTGTCGACACGAGCCCCGACTGGAACTGGAACCCGAAAACCGGCGGCTCCAACCGGTACCTTGTTGTCTGCCGTCTTTCTCGCTGGATATCTGATGCCAACGTAGATTTGCGACCGTGTTTCTGTATTTGAGCAACGTCACGCACGGTGGCCAGACGGTGTTTCCGCTGACCAACATGCCGGAAGGCGTTGCCCACGCCCAAGTCCCGACCGACGACGAGCTCGGCATCTTTGAAAAGGGCAGCTGGGAAGCCAAGATGGCCATGCAGTGCCACACCAAGTACGCGCACCGTCTCTTGGCGAAGAGCTCATGGACCGCGTAGGCTGGCGTCGTATCCGCGCAAGACGCACGCCGTCTTGTTTTACAGCCAAAAGGGCAACGGCGAGCTAGACCCGATGTCGGAGCACGGCGGGTGCCCTGTCCTCGATGGCACGAAATGGTAGAGGGCTCTCTCGCGATTCCAGGAGCTCATTCGCGGCTTAGGGCGGCGAACCTTTGGGTATGGAACCGGCGTCGGTACGGGCTTGACGGGACCAAGATTGACGTGACGTTCTACAACAACCTCGACGTGCCCATCGAGCTCTACTGGTCAACGACGCGCATGCAGGAGATCGCAGCCCACAGCCAAGCGTTCTTCAAGTCGTACGACGGCCACGAGTGGACGCTCAAGGACATGGACGGCAACGAACTCCGCACACATCGCCTCGCGCAGGCCGACGGCCTCTCGCAGTCGATTGCCTTCCCGGTCGAAACACCGACGAAAGACGAGTTGTGATTGACAATCTCTATGTGGTACCCGTTGTCAACATACTGTAAACCGGTAAACAATTGCACACGTTAAGAGATCAAGACAGTACGCCACTTTAGAGTGGGCCGCAACCCACACCGTAATTGACATTGGTCAGACGCTGGGAATGGATAGATAGATAAACAGATAGATAAATAGTTGTGCATGTGGATCGCAGTGTGCTTGTTGGTTTATTCCCCTAGCCCTACACCCAACCCTACTTACAGCTGCTCCGTGGTTGTTTTAAAAAAAGTCAGCACTGCCCTGCAGTCTCAGTGTCGGCAGCCGCGCGCGTTCCAGGGCCGCATGCGCGATCGTGTCGTACGCGTTGTGGCTCACGTCGAGGCGCTGAAGCGTCGGGAGGTGCGGCAGCACGCTGGCAAGCGCCTCGATGCCGGCGTTTTCAATGTAGTTGAGAGAGACATCGAGCACCGTGAGGCTCCGAGCCGGCAACTTCTTGGCTAGAGCAATTGCGTGGTGGTCTTGAAGACTATTGCGGTGGAGGTGCAGCACCCGAAGCGTCATGAAGCCACTCGAATTATCTTGTCGCCACCGCATCGATCCTTGCTGGGCCGTCGCCTCCACGAGAAGAAAAGGCACCGGATCGTAGTACGCTGCTGCTCTGTTGGAACCTCGAATAACGACTGTACCTCGTCCTAGTACAGATCGTTGCAACCCGAACCCTGAGCAGCGTACACCACAGCGAATTTAAAAACGATTCAAAAGCCCTCGAGCCAGTGACGGGTCAGGGTGATCCAACCACGACTCCGCCTCGCAAGCGTACAGTGTCGATCCTATCTTGCACGTCGTGAACCGTTTGGAGATAGGATGTCGTCAATCAAGCGCTAGCGAAATGCAACCTCGTCGTCGCCATGTCAAGGCGGCGATGTCAAGGACAAGAGGCGCCATGCACCAAGGAGCCCACGGTAGCACTGTCGACGCGCTCGAGCCCGGCTGCAGACCATCGGTATACGACAATCGTCTCCTTGATCGCATACGAGTACTGACGCCGTCATCCATCACTCCGCTCCACGACATTTCATTGCCTACGACCGTGTCGCCTTTTGGTCTAGAACCGGATTGTATTACTTTGATCGTAGACTGTGGCTGCGTTCGGTCGCGGCGCTCTCCGCCAAACGGCAAGCCCGACGTCTCACGTGAGTACCTCCAACGTCTGCGATCAGCCAGCGCCGAGGTTGCGCAAGAGTAAGAACTGGTTCGACTACGATCACCGGTACGTGCTGCTGCTACCGATCGGCGTGCGATGGTGCCTCGTGGTTGTGGCCGTCGACGCGCGCGACATTGTGTGCCACGACGCGAGGCCACACGGTCGAGGAGCGCCTTGGTCGCATCGACGCCACGAGTAAGCTCTTCGGCTCCATGCTGCTGCGATCAACGGAGCGTCAGGTGCCCACCCTGGCACGGAAGCACGACGACGACGGCATGCATCTACCTCACCCGGTCCTCGTCGATGGCCCCACGGATACGTTTTGCGCGTCGTAGATTTCAAATGCGTCAACACCGGCAAAGCAAAGCAGTCGAGTGTGGTAAAATAGTAAATAAGTTGTTGGATAAGCGTTTAGTTGGGCGTCGACAGCACCACCTTCTTCTTGCTCTTGTGCTTCTTTTTCTTCGACTTGAACGCGTCGCCGTTGGGCTTGGGCTCGTTGGTGGCGGCCACCACGGGCTTGGTCGGCGAAAGCTTCTTGGTCGGCGTCGTCTCGGCGTCCGAAGCCTCGTCGTCGTCGTCGTCCTGGGCCGTGGGTTCCTAATCGCATACAGAATTGAGCCATCACTATTCCAACTACATATATAGATCTAGATATGGAGGAGAGAGATGTAGCGTGGTTATGACTCGTATGAATTCGATAGGAAAGACCAAAAGCCTTTTGCAATCCCGTGAATGGGAAAGCCGAAACCAGCCTTAAGGACCGCGCGACGTAGCAGCATGAAAAACTCATGACGGCGCTACAGGTACTATCCCAGATGGTCTGGACCCCCGACCAACCGCAGCATCGTGCCACAAGGACACAACGCTGATCGGGGGTAATTTGCAAATGGGGAACACATGCACACATGCAACATGCACATAAGTTGGACATGCAACGCACCTCGGCCTGGGGCTGACGCGGGCGCTTCTTCGACACGTGCGGCTCGCCCGCGAGCTCGTCGTTGTGGGCGATGCGGGCGGCGGCCTTCTGGATGAGCTCCTGGAGGTCGTCGACCGTGAGCTTGTTGATGGCCTCGGCGTGGTCGCCGACCGACTCTTCCGGCGGGCCTGGCTGGTAGTAGCCGGCGAGATGCACGA